TCTGCACAACCTCTCCAGCATTTATTATTTTGTGTTTTTTGTATTAACACTAGCCTTGTTGGGATGAGATGATATCTCAGTGTAGTTTTGATCTGCATTTCTCTAATGGCTAACGATTGCAAGCATTTCTTCATGTGTCTGTTAGCTGCCTGAATATCTTCTTCGGTGAAGTGCCTGTTCATAACCTTTGCCCATTTTTTAATTGGGTTATTTCTCTTTTTGTTGTTGAGGATTTGCAGTATCTTGTAGATTTTAGAGATTAGATGCTGATCGGATTTGTTGTAGCCAAAATTTTTTTCCCAGTCTGTAGATTGTCTTTTTAGTCTTTTGATGAGCATAAGTGTTTGATTTTTAGGAGCACCCAGTTATCTAGTCTCTCTTCTGGTGCTTGTGCATTGTTACTTATGGTTCGTATTATGTTTATGCCATGTATTAGGGCTCCTAGCATTGTCCCTATTTTTTCTTCCATGATCTTTATTGCTTAAGAGGAATTCTTAATGATTACCATGTAATTCTGACTATAATGTCTAAAGACAAACTGTCTGGGTTCAAATCCGCACTCTGCCACTTACTTGCGACATTGAGCAAGTTACTTAATTTCCATGTCTCAGGGTTTTTTTCATCTATAAAATAGAGATAATTATAGGACCTACCTTATACGTTGTTATAAGAACTAAATTAGTTCATATTTGTAAACAGCTCTGAACAGGGCCAGGGACATAATACCTGGTATATAAGTGTTTAATTAAATACATATATTAATAAAATAAAAGTAAAGTTAAAGCTAATTTTTTCTTGCTATCACTTGTTACTAAAGCAATCATTACAATAAAAACAAACATGAAATAGTTTTGTGACAATATACTGAAGTATTCATTTCTGTTTCTTCTTTCTATACTTAACTTTCTTCCCTCTTTCAGGCAAGTACCCATGCTCTATTATGCCTCTGGCCTGAGGGATTTTTGCAGAACTGGAAACCCATAAAAGCTGAAGCCACCTGAAGCCAGCATCTCTCCCAGTCTAGGGGCTGCTAACCAAAAGGTTGGAGGTTCTAACTCACCCAGCAGCTCTTCAGGAGAAAGACCTGGTAATGTGCTTCCGTAAAGATTGTAGCCAAGAAAACCCTATGGGGCAGCTCTACTCTGTTACATGCGGTTGCTGTTAGTTGAAATCAACTTATCAACACCCAGCAACAACAAGAAGTCCCATTGAAGTGATTGGTAATGCTAAGTGTCCCAGGAGGGGTGAGCAGGTGAAGGCCTGTGGGTGCAAGAAGAGTGGGGAGAGGAAGCATCTTCCTGGGAAGGGTGGGAAACAGTAGGTCTGTGAGGCATAGGAGCTGGGGGACGTGTGCAGACTCCCAAGCAGTGGCATGACCTCTGGGGAACATTCATCTTCCCATGCCTCATGTGGACCAGAAGCAAGGTGCTCCGAATTGCTAGGGACCCCTGGGGTCTTGGATTAGCAAGATGTCAGTCTTGACCACGAGAGGTCAGAGGTTAGACTAGCGCTGACCGATAGAAATACAATGCAAGCCACATAGGTAATTCAAAAATTTCTAGCTTCTAGAATCTAATAGCCAGGTTAAAAAACCTAAAAGGATGATTATATACATTTTTAGAGGGCAGTGGGGGTTCAGTGGTTAATTCTCCACATGGGAGACCTAAGTTTGATTTCCAGCCAATGCACCTCAACCGCAGCCACCACTTGTCTGTCAGTGGAGGCTTGAGTGTTGCTATGGTGCTGAGCAGATTTCAGCGGAGCTTGCAGGCTAAGACACACTAGGAAGAAAGGCTTGGTGATCTACTTCTGAAAAAAATCAGCCAGTGAAAACCCTGTGGATCACAATGGTTTGATCCCATTGTACATGGGGTCACTATGAGTCAGGGGCAACTCAATGTCAGCTAACTACAGATACATTTTTAAGTAAATAAAATTAAGTTTATTTTGCTAATAATGTTCAAAATTTTCATTCTATGCCAGGAAACACATATTAGCAGGAAGATTCTACCCTCTTATTTCCAAGAAAAGGATCTCTCTCATTTA